CAAGCAATGTGCATTCTGATACATACAAAATGGCGCCTTGTGGCGCAGCGGAAGACTTAGATACAAGTCCTGACCTGACCGGGACTCACCTCTTTCACGTAGTACAAGATAGTGCAGCAGAATGCTAGAATACCAATGACGAGCCCAATCAATGTTACAACGCAGACTAAACATACATCATCTCCATCACAAGGAGTGAAGGAGGCCTGGCGCCACACACAGGAAGAATGCGCCAGGTCCTGATCATGCACAGACGAAGAGGAGGGGAACAGACGAAGGAGGGGAGTGATGGGAATGTCGTCAACACCAAGTCTTTGTTACATGTCCCAAATAATCCCTCATCAAAATGTTTGAAGCCCAAATGTCGAGTCTGGATCCAAATGTCACCAAGCTCTCTCTTTCTCTCGTAGTCTGCTGATGCAGTGAAGTCATGTAGCGAGAGGGTGAGAGGGAGATGGTGGACTGAGAAGAGGAAGAAGAAGAAAACTCTCTCTCTCTCTCAAGTGCCAGGTACTAACCTGCGAAGTTGGCGCTGTGCTGCAGGTACCTCGAAGACGGAGCTGGAGCTATGGCGCTGCAGGTAAGTCTCCCCGGCCTCCGCCCAATCTCTCTCTCTCTCTCGTACTGCTCTAGCTCCTATGGCGCCCAGCGCTGAAGACTACTGCTAACGCTACTAGCGCCCAACGCTGAAGACTACTGCTAGCGCTACAACTACTCCTGCAGCGCTCCTCCAGAGTGCTGCTGCCGAATCCTGAAGACTACCTCCGGCCTCCTGAACCGCACGTGAAGTGCCTGGGAAGTACCTAGGAACTACCTGTCGGCCTGCAGGGCGGGCCARTCCTATATAGTGCTGGMCCGTCCAGGAGGCTGCTCTTGCCAATGCCGAAACGTGCCAGACCTTGGCGTTGAAGCTCAACCAGGGGTTGTCTTGAAAACAGGCCCAAAATGGCTTGTGCTAAAACCCTGGTTTGTTGCCTGAGTTTCGGGGCGGGTCGAACTGATGAGGGCCTGAAAATGGCCCTCAGTTTCAGGCTGAAAACTCTCAGGGCCGGAAAGGCCCTGATTTAGCCTGAAAAGACACAGGGCCTGTAGGCCCTTGTTTTCAGGCTTTCAGGCTGAAACGACACGGGGCCTGCAGGCCCTTGTTTTCAGGCTTTTGGCCGGAAAACGTCACGGGCCTGAAAGGGGGCCCGTGCAGCCTGTTGCAGGTGCAGCATGCAACACCCCCCACTCCTTATGAAGTCAAGCCAGGGCGAGGGCGAAGCTGACGATTTGAAGGTGGAACGTGGATGCGGGTGCGACGTGGAGCCGAAGATACCGGCTTGCCTTGCATCTTGCGTTCATAGCGTGCGAGAACATCTGGAGTTGTTGCTTGGAGTTCCGCACGGGTCAACCAACGGTCAGCTCTGTGACTGCAGTACGCAAAGTGTACCAAGTACTCAGTTGGCCTGTTGCCGTAGCGCCACTGAGAGAGGATGTCGCTGACCTCTTGAAAACCGTCCATAGAGGATGTCTTGCGATCGTCGCGTGGGAAAATCGTCATGTTCCGCTGGTATGTAAAGAGCCAACTTGGAGCACTGAAAGACCGAGTAGACGGGCAAGTGGGCGGACACCTGAATGGTGAAGGAAGGTCCTTCAGGTGCATCCTCGCCGGGTGCCACGATCGGCCAAGGCTCCATCCATTTCGGGAGGAGCTTGCGAGAGATATCTTGTTCGAGGCTGAACTCTGAGGCGAAAACACAAACGAGATGGCCGGCACGGAATGGGCAAAGAAGACGCTGGCGATTGGCCTGTTGGCTCATGCGTTGCTGCGTCTTGGCCATCTGGTCGCGTGCCTTGACAAGTAGCTCTTGCATGCGGCGCAAGAAAAGAAGATGGTCGTCGCTCTCAACCGTTCGTGGAATGATTGTGTCCAACGGCGAAGTGACCGGCTAGCCATGCTCGAACTCGAAGGGTGACATCGTGATAACCAGGTGGATGGACGAGTTGTATGCCAACTTGACATCCGGCAGCTGCTCAACCCAATCCTTTTGGTCGGGACGGATGAGAGTGCGAAGGAGAACCTGTGCGGTCTGATGCGCCCTCTCCGTTTGGCCATCGGTTTGGGGGTCGTGAGCCGAACTTGGCTTGAGAGATGAGCCCCATCGTTTGATGAGCGCCAACCAAAAATCGGACATGAACCGAGTGTCGTGGTCGCAGTCTCGCAGACGATTTCCTTGGGATAACCCTTGGTTCGAATCCAACCGGCGTAAAGAACCTCGGCCAACTCCGGTGCCTTGGCATGATAGCGGCAAGGCAAAAACATGGCAAACTTGGTGAGTCGGTCGATCACCGTGAGAATCACATCCACACGGGTCTTGTGCTTGGGGAACGGCCCGGTAATGTCCATGGCAATCGCTTCCCTTCGGCGCAAGGGGACCGGTAGCGGTCACAACTCGCCGAACGGATGATGGTTGCGGGATTTGCAGTGTCGGCAAACCTCGCATGACTCGCAATAGCGTGTGACGTCGTCGAGAAGGTTGGGCCACCAAAATCGCTCGCGAAGTCGGCCAATCGCGCGATTGACTCCAAAGTGTCTGGTGGCGGGAGCATCGTGGAACTCACCAAGAAGCTGTGTACGCAAGTGAGAGTCACTCGGTGTGCAAAGAAGGTCCTTCCCCCGCGTGTGGACAAGCAAGTACCCCTCTTGGATCCGGTAGTGAGAAGGCGCCGGATTAGGAGAGGAGCAATTCGCGTATTTGTCGCAAAACTCGGGGTCGGCTTGGTAGCCACGGATGAAGCTGTCCCGCAGGTCGTCGCCGATCTAGAAGGTCGAGTAGACTGCGGTACAATGATCCGGACGCCGTGAAAGAGCATCTGCAAAACGGTTCGACTTCCCGGGAATGTGATCGAGAAAAAAGTCGAATTGCTCGATGAAAGTCATCCAACGGGCGATGGTGCTATTGACGGTGTCTTGGGTCTTGTAGAAGACCAACGGATTGTTGTCCGTTACCCATCGGAATTGACTTCGACCAATGAGGATGTGCCGCCATCGGAATTGACTTCGACCAATGAGGAAGTGCCGCCACCGCTTGAGAGCGTGGACGAAGGCTAGGAGCTCCTTCTTGCGTGCATCGCCAATGAAGTGCATGACGGACACTTCTTGCTGAAGTACTCGACCGAGTGCCAGTCCACGCCATCGTGTTGCTCGAGGACGACACCAATGCCATAGCCGGAGGCATCCATAGTGATGCGTGTTGGCAATAGCGGGTCGTATATGCGCAAGACCTCCGTAGATAATAGCGCGGCTTTGAGAGCCAAAAATGATTCCCGCTCATCCTCCCCGAAGTCAAATGGCCGATCCTCGCATTGAAGCTTGGACAAGTGGGCCGCAATCTTCGAGTATCCCTCGATAAAACGTTGGTAGTAACCGGCAAGGCCAAGGAACGAACAGATATCCGTGATGTTCTGCGGCTCCGGCCACTCTTGGATGGCTTGAATCTTGTCCGATAGCGGACTGATGCCCTCCGATGTGACAAAATGGCCCAAGTATTCCAACTCTTGCCGGACAAATTCGCACTTGTTGCGGTTGGCCTTGTACTTGGCGAGGCGGAGCGTCTCCAACACTCGTCGAAGGTGCTCAAGATGATCCTCCAATGACCGGCTATAGATGAGAATGTCGTCTAAGTAGACCAGCACGAACCGGTCCAACATCGCACGAAACTCGTTGGTCATTGGCGCTTGAAAGGTCGTCGGGGCGTTGGTGAGGCCAAAAGGCATGACCACCCACTCAAAATGCTCGTACCGCGTCTTGAACGCGGATTTGTAGTGATAGTCGGATCGAAATCTGATGGTATCCCGACTTCAAATCCAACTTAGAGAAGTACTTCGCGCCACCCAATCGCTCAAGAAGATCGTCGATGCGAGGAGGAGGCTCCGCATTCTTGACGGCTTGCGCGTTGAGTTTGAGGTAGTCGATGCACAATCGTAGATCCTTGTTCTTCTTCCGTACGAAGAGAACTGGCGCTCCATATGGAGAGCTACTAGGAAGGATCCAGCCCTTGTCCAACAAGTCATCGAGTTGCGAGCGGAGGACCGTAAGCTCCTCCTCGCTCATGCGGTAAATGCAACCTTTCGGCGGCATGGCACTGGCCTCAAGAATGATCTCGTGAGAGATTGACCGATCCGACACCACACCGGTAGGTGACTCGAAGATGTCGGCGAACTCGTCAAGCAACCGCACCACACGGGGGTCTGAAGACAAGTTTGTGGGTGAAGAGTCGGCTACCATGACGGTCCTTAGGAAACATAGGCCTATCTCGTCGGGCTGCTCGTAAGCGAAAGTAGCCCGGAACGACTTGGCCGTTACCACTTGGCACTGAATTGAAGGGTGCAGAGGAGGAATAGTCCACGACACTTTGGTGCGGAAGGTGTCGCGAACGGTAAGAGTTCACCGGTGGAAGTTGACCGTGTGATCCACACTTGCAAGCCAAGGCATTCCCAAAATAATGTCGAAGTCCGTGTCCAAAATGTCGAATGTCACAGGTTTGCATGCATGAGGTGCGAAATACACCGGTACGGCCTCGATGTAGCGGTCGATAAGTTGCTGCGTCCTTCCGTCCGCCAACTTGATCGCCGTCGGGTTTGCCTTCCTTCGAACTTGTGCGCCAAGGCCAGCCTTTTGCATAAAGGTCTGGCTCATAAAATTGCGAGACACGCCGCTATCCAGTAAAGCGCTGCAAGACGCTTGCCCAACTTGGATGCGGACATAGAGGAGCGGTGCATTGTTGTCGTCGTACCGCTGATTACGAAACTCACAGGCCACCTCGGTAATATATGCAAGGATATCCTCCACCGCGACTTCGTCATCCGTCGGTGAAGTTGGTGGTGCATAGAAGGATAAGTATGTGTGAAGATGAGCGCATAATGTTGTGCATTGCGGTCCCGACAAGCGGCCCATGGTCGGGAGAGGAAGCCATGTGAAATCCTCGGACGTGAGCGGGTCCAATACCTCTATGTTGAACTCGCGCGCCAAATCCCGTGAAGAACCACTTGAAGACGATAAGTCACCGTTGCCGGACGGAGAAGATCCCGCACACACGTCTTGTCCTTGAGCATGAGTACCCAGCGTAGGAACAAGCCGGGCAGCATAGTCCTCATAAGAAATAGAAGAGGAGGACTATCGACTTCCGCATGTGCCTCGGAACGAAGGGCGGTCACCCGCAAAGTGACCGGTTTCGAAGGCGTCGAGAGTGTCGTCGACTTACTCCCGGCGGTGCTCAGTTTCCCGATTTGCCCTTGCCTTTCGACGGGAAGCCCATTGTCTCGTGGAGATCGTTGTCGCGTCCTCGGCCTTTGTCGGGGCGGCCACCTTCCCGGGCGGCTGCGAGTTTGTCCCCTTCATTGGCAGACACGGCCTCGCTAGTTTGGTCGATTGGCGTTGCCGCCTCGACCACGACCACTTTCGGTCGATGCTGATCTCTGCTGGGGCCTGTTGCAAACGAGCGGTGGAGGTTCTTAGCCTCTTTGTTCATGACAATAATCTGTGCGGCCTTATCGAAGAGCTCCACCGGTGTCGTCAGGGTGCCCTCGACGTGAGTCAAGGCATTACCCAACGTCGGACACGACGAAGTAGTGTTTGATGGCTTTGAAACCCATTTGAATGTCTGGGATGGATGTCAAGCGTTGCTACTCGGCAATCCAGTCAACACTCGGTAGCGTGCCTTGTTCGACGACCATTAGCTTGTCCATTGCCTTGATGTCCGGCGGCTCTACTTGGAACCGCTTATGCCACGCCGCCTTTAGATCATCCCAGTTGATCTTGGTATGCAAGTCGGCAGCCACCACTCAGTACTTGGACAGGAGCTTGTCCAACCATGCTTGGCACGCGCCCCCCGAGCGGGAGTATAAGTACTCGTGATGCTTGTGCTCGCTGACGTAGTGTAGCTGCAACTTGAGTTCGAACTTACGGAACCACGGAATCGGGTCCGTCTTCGTCGAGTCGCAAAAGATCTCCCGATCATTGAACTTTGGAGTTGTCTCGCACGGTTCCGATCTCGAGTGAGTGGCGGCAATACAGATCCGCTGCTCCAACTGTTGCGTGGCGTTTTGCTGTAACTGAATGCCGTCCTTGAGGGATCCGACGTCAATCTCCAATGCCTCGAGGCGATCGGAGGTGTTGGAAGAGCTGGCAACGGGGGCGGCGACGGTTTGTTCCATCTGCTGGAGGCGGCTGGTGAGTTGGTCAAACACCTGATTGTGTGTCTGAACTGCATCGTCGAGGTTGTGAATGTCCTCTTGATGTGCAATGCACGTGGCCAGGAGGTCCGTGAGATGGGAGAGGAGTAGAGCGATCTTGTTTCCACTCTCTTCCAACTTCCCATTCTCAGCCTCGGCCCGCCAGTCCACTGCCATTGTGAGCAATGCTCGCTCTCCGCTGAATATCTTCTCGCGTCGTTGAAGTAGTTCTTTATCGGCAGCCTTTGCTGCTGCCTCGTCTTGCTGGCGCTGCTGTTCAATTGCCAATAGACGTGCCTTCTCGGCATCCTCTGCCTTCTTCTTTGCTGCGGCTGCTACTGCATCCGACCGTTGCTTGGCTTCGGTAATCAGAAGCAGCATCCGGGCCTGATAGGCCTCGTCCGTTTCCCCAGACTTCTGGTCCATGACGACTGTTTGCGAGCGCAAGAGCATAGACCAGGCCGGGGGCCTCCTTACGTGGTACTCCCTGCTACTGACGTGGCACTGCTGTCGGCTGACGTGGCCTGCTGACGTGGCAACTCACCAATGTCGCCGCAGGGGGTACCCGGAGACAGATAGAGAAGGTAAGACCAGAGGGGGCGACAACATGGGTGGGGAGGGGTGGGTGGGGATAAATCGCCCAGATAAGGAGCCACTAATGAAAAAAGAAGAGGTTGAACTTTGCAAAAAAAATTTCGAGAAAATAAAAATCCGGAGTTTTGCAAGTTCAGTAGGTCTCCCAACCTCCCTTGAAGTGCGAAATTATCAATGAGAAGAAAAATTTTGAACTTTCGCCCTGGATTGTGAAAGATACTATAGAAGTGACGCCTCTGACTGGTCCTCGTGGGAAGGGGATGATGAAGGAGAGATCCTGGGCCGAATCCCTGATCTTGAAAAGGAAAAAAATGGCCAAATTGACCCGGGGAGATCAGACAAGGCAGGAGAATCTGCATTCTCCCCGTCAAAGGACAGCGGTTTAGGGTCTGCTCAGGCGACAACTGGGGACGGTGCGAGCACGGGTACCTCTCCACCTCCCACTACCTAGATGTTCCTGGACCAACTATTCCCTCTAATCTGACCCAGCTGCTTCTATGGAGAGCTACAGGAGAAGAGCGAACGAGGCAGGGGGTCGCATTGATTGGAAAAATCAAGGATTAGTCCTCAGAAGCTGGAATGTTAATGGACTGGTGAACATAGTAGAAAAAGAAGAAAAATGGAACGATATATTATCCGGGATCTCGATGAGAGATAGGAAGCTAGAAGATATATTGCTATTATAGGAAACACACCTCACCTTCTCAACAGCACACAACAAAATTCACACATTTATGGCAAGAAGACTAGGCGACCTGAAGGACGAAATTCGGTCAGTTGACCCTGAAACAAGCTCTAAGGGAACAGCCATCCTGATTCCAAAATCCTCCCGCCTATATGTAGCAGCCTCTGTCCTTGACAAGAAAGCCGATCAGACAGAAGGAAGGTGGTGTATGTTACATCTGAAATGGAAGGCAAAGGAATTCTTACTCTTCAATATTTATGCTCCGAACTCGCCAACAGAACGGATAACCTTTCTAAGACACATCAGAGACCTGATTCCACCATTTACCCCATGTATTCTGGCAGGAGACTGGAATGCCACAATAGACCCTTCAGTAGACCGTATTTCTCGTTCTTCCAGTAACCCAAACTTATCAGAAGCAACACCAATTCAGGAAATGATGCTGGATCACAACTTGGTAGACCCCCATAAAATCCTACACCCCAACAAGAGAACTTTCACCTTAGTCAAGAAAAACCATGCTAACCATATGGCCTTCTCACGAATAGACTATTTTCTAGTGTCCGAAGTCATGATGGGGGCAGTCAAGGAAGCTGAAGTGTTACCGTTGGCTCCATATTTAGGTCTGGATCACAAACCAACTGAATTAGTCATATGCTTTGACCAAATGGTTACAAAGGGGGCTAGCTTCCACAAGCTCAACAATTCCCTCCTGCTGAGCCAAACCTTCCAAAGCGAAGTATGCGACTGCTGGGAAGGGTTGAGGTCGGTGCGTCTAAGCACTGTTCCTCGATGGGAATGGTTTCAGATGAGCTATTCGACCCTTTCAGACACCATGGCCAAAGTCTCTAGGAAGCTAGCGTCGATAAGGAAACAAAGAAAGCAATCACTAGAATTTGCACTGAAAATAGCAGAAACTAACTTGATGAACAACCCCGCCTCTCAACTATATATCGAGATTTTCGACAAGGCTCGAGAGGAACTGGCCATGTGGAAGCAGTGGGATCTGAAAGGTCTTCAAACAAGAGCAAGAATGTGCGAGTACGAACTCAACGACTCAATGACTAAACACTTCTTTGCCTGAATTAAAGCGAATTCGAGAGTTGGCACGATAGAAGGCCTAAGGTCACACGCAGCTCCCGAAGCCGTGAAATCAGACAGAGAAGGGATGTTAGAGATAGCAAACAATTTCTACAAGGATCTATACCACTCTAAGACTGGGGCACCAATACCCATCAACGTTAGAGAGGCAAGGCAGAAAATGCTACACTACTTAGAGCGAACAATATCAACCGAATAGGCCGAAGCTCTCGACAAACCAATCACATCAGGAGAAATACATCGGGCTCTACAAAGCATGAACAATAACAAGACTCCAGGAATTGATGGGTTAACAAAAGAATTCTAGGAAAAGTTTTGGCCCTTGCTAGGAAGTGACTTGCTAAACTTCTACAATGACAGCTGGTCCAAGGGGGGGCTGGGTAATTTACTCAGCAGCAGCGTGGTCACACTACTTTACAAAAAGGGTGAAAAAGACGACATCAAAAATTACAGGCCCATTTCGTTGTTAACCCTCCCATACAAGATCCTGGCCAAGACCCTGTCCAAACGGATCACTAAGATCACCAACAAATGTTTCCACATCGACCAAACAGGATTCATTCCGGGTCGTTATATTCTAGATAATGTTATGACACTGAACGAGTCAGTAAGAAAAATCAGAGAAAGGAAAATAAATGCCGCCATTCTCTTCTTTGATTTTGAGAAGGCATACGATCAAGTCAACTGGGACTTTTTGGAAGCAAGCATGGAAAGAATGGAAGTCGGACCGATCTTCAGAAAGTGAGTTAGGATACTATACAAGGATGCAGTTGGTTGTGTCCAAGTCAACGGACTATTGTCAGATTGTTACCCGATATCCCGCTCGGACCGCCAAGGAGACCCGTTGGCCCCATCAATCTTTTTATTCGTAATGGAGGCAATCGCATCCTTCCTGCGCAAGGATCCATCAATTCAGAGACTAGCCAGCACCGACGTAGGCTCTGCCCACCAGATGGATTTTCCCGCAGCTATCACGTTCGCAGACGATCTAACGGTTCTGATCAGAGCATAAGACTCTTCCTTCAGAACACTAGTTAAAGCAATGGAAGCATTCAGACTAGCCTCAGAGATGAAGATCAACTGGGGGAAAACAATTGGCTGGTGGCTTTTCGAGGACGAACCCCTCTCTCTCCAAGGAGGTGAGGCGGCTATGACATGGCAAACACCGGACACACCCACTCGTTATCTGGGTATCCTGATGACGAAAGAAGGGCTGGCGCCCCAAATGGGCCCTTCCATGCTGGCCAAACAGATTAACCAAATTGGAAGGTGGGGCAACGCCTTCACTTTGCTTATTGGTCGGGCGCTGGTCCTCAATACGTTGGTTTTCTCAATGATGTGGTACATTGCCTGTATCTGGACAGTTCCCGACAACTCGATTAAGGAGTTGAACAGACTAGCCATGATTTACCTATGGACAGGAGACCCCAACAAAGACAAGGGCATATCTAAGATAGCCTGGCACTATGTTACAAGGTGGCCACGTGACAGGGGCTTATGAATCATTGACCCTGGAACAGAAACGAAAGCCCTGCAAATCAAATGGATCATCAAACTGCTGATGAATCCGGACAGCGCCTGGAACAAGTTGGCACTGGATAGTATCAGATCTGTAGCACCAGTACCCTCCCCGAACGATATGTCAGGCCTGTTTTGGGTAATGAACAAAGAATGGGTGATATCTACAGGACGGAGGAATCGGACAAGGAATAACAGACTCGAAGACCATCGACCGCCCACCCCTTACTGGCCGGCACTGCTTCGATCGTGGAGGAAAATAATCCCCGACAAGATTAACAAACCTAAGTCCAAGGATGAAGTACTAAGACAACCGCTCTTCGGGAATGAATGGCTAACAAACGAGGCCAACAACCCACTTTTCCTAGAACAGAGATGGCTATCCTGGATCAAGAACGGTATTTGGAAAGTTGATCACTTGTGGAAGGAGGACAGAAAAGACTGGATAACGGAACAAGAAATTAATGCCCGGCTGAAAGCATGCCACAGACGAGAGACCAATCTTCAGTACATACTCAGTCGTATTCCACAGGAGTGGAAAGATATCCTGGTTAAAGATGATTCGTGGAGACCGGGCGAGTGGGGTCTTATGATTCAAGACACATCCCCTTCTAGAGCCTATCAATTCTCCCACATCCAGCAAGGCTCACACATCAGAGCCACTTTTCTTTCCTTCCCGGTCTCCTTCACCAATACGGATATGCCAACTATTTTGAACAGCAATGTAGAATCATCTATACTAGATTCCTTCCTCCTCAGGAAAGTAAAGGTCCTAGGCACATGGCCAAAGACAATTTTCAGACCGGACACTGCAATCCGGTCCTTGGAGTTTGACCCTGTGGAATGGGCCTGGAAGCCAAATACTACTAGCAACTTCAAGTCAAAGATCCCAATCCAGGATTACTCAGTCAAACTTGGGTACAGACTGTCTCTAAAGACCAAAAATCCAGACCCGATCATCAAAAACAGATGGCGGAACCTCTTGGGTCCAGAAGCAGATAAAGTTACACGAATCCATTGGGAAAAATTGAAACGTATCAGACCAATCAAGATTAGAAGTTTGCAATGGCTGATTGTATACGCAGCCCTACCGGTGAACCAATGGCTGCACATTAGACGGAAAGCCACAGACCCAGACAGCTCGGAATTATGTAGAGTCTGTTCCGAAGGTGCGGTAGAAGATGTAGTCCACTGCCTAGTGCTGTGCAAAGAGGCGACCGAATACTGGGCGAGAGCTTCTTCACTATGGGATTCCCTCTTCACTTCTCCCTTCCCCGAACAACCCATTCAACTGCTCCTTTTGACTAACATCCCTGATCAGGCACGGAAGGTTGAGAGGATCTGGTTTGAACTCATCAGGAAAGTGACCCTATGGGTCATATGGAAGGAGAGATGCAGCAGAACAATTGAAGGACGGTCCAACCCACGGGAGAAGGTGTGGATAGAAACCAAAACAATGATTCAAGCTGAGATCCTTTGCAGGTGGCAGAAGATCAAACAAGCCTGGACAGAAGACGAAGAACAGCCGAACAAGGAGAGGAAGAGATTCTATAGGAACTGGCTGGTCAATGGCAAGGTTGCA